GAATAAAGACTTCTGAGTTCTGGTGCATTTGTGCGTGCGGGGGTCATCATGTTACCGCTATGTGGTGTCTAGTTGTTTCTGTGAATCTTACCATCTCCATTTTTGAAGATGATTCCCAGTGCATCTCCACTCATCAGCTTGTTGCTGTAAACAATCCAGAGCGGCTTCATCTTCGAGTCCATGTAGCGGCACTTCTCCACACTAACAGGACAACCACAGACAGGAAACCAGAGTTCATCTACAATTCGACGCGTGGGTCAGAGGAGAAGTCAGGAGGAGTAAATCTTACTTGATGTCAGATAGCTGGACGCTGGGGTTCAGAGGGGAGTGCAGGTCTGACAGCGCATCCGAGTACCCACTCTGCCTTAAACACGTCATCATGGCCTCTTTGGTCAACATCGCCTCCTTGGTTTTACTTCGAGCATTTTTAATGGTTCCCAGTTTGATGAGCTCGTTGACTGACTTCAGTTTACTCAAGGCTTCCACCTGGAAGAGGTTAAAAAACATAAAACTAAATATCAAAAAACATTTCATAATTTATTTGTAAAGTATTCTTGTTGCTGACAGCTGCCCATGTTCTCATTAAACAGTCAACCTGTTTGCTCTTCACAACAGGAAGTGCTCAGATAGGAGATAAAGAAGTGGCAGGAAGTGTCTGAAGGAGTGGAGAGGTCAAAGGTTAGAAGGCAGGATGGGCAACCCTGCTGCCACAATGACAGGCAGTAAAGAAAACACAAATCTCTGTCGGTGTTAAAAATATACTAAAAACATTCTGAAAACCTCAGCTCATGATCTGAATTTCATAAAACCAGCTACAAAGACCTGTCTGTGTGTAAGCTGAACAAATCAGAAATCACTCCAACTCAGAATATAAAGAAACAACGAATTTAAATTCAACAAACTGGCTGAATGACGCCACCTGGTGTGTCACATGCAGATGTGCAGTGAATCCTTGTGGGGACGCATTTTGTGACATTCTTCCTATTCTTCTTTACTAGGCTTCATTATTTTTGCCATTTTGATTGTCTGGCAAGAGTTGTCGCTATAGTGAACTAATAAATTATTGTCGTACAGTATGCTAACTCACACCTGTAAAGATGGATTAACAAGTTGTTGCAGAAGTGTTTAAAGTGGGGCTGGGCGATAATTCAATATACTGTATATTGCAAAAGACACGTGTTCAATATCAATAGAAAACACGTCTGATTTAATATCGATAGTTTCACTGGTTATTAACTGCTATTAACTTTCTGATAAAAATAAGCTAGGACCTTTTAGCTTAGCAACACTGGGAAAGCTAATTTTCACCTTCAAAATAAAAGCTTCAAGTTGTTAAAAGATGACAAATTCCTGCTACAAAAAATAATCACTTGTGCTTCATTTTGAAATGTGTAAACAGATTTTGTTCTCCCACTTGTCAGCAGATTTGAGCAACAGAGCGCTGGCCTCCATTGTAGGGTTAATATGAAATTAATTATCGATTTAGGATGCTGTTACACTGAAATGAGGCATCTAAAAACTGAAGAGTGTGTCAAAATGACTCCTCAACAGCTAAACAAAGTTAGCAAAAAAACAAAAAAACAAAAAAAAACAAAAAAACAAAAAACAAAACAATACATAAAAAAAACCTGTGGAGTAACATGCGCAGTAGTAGTTTTACATTTCACCACTGTGCCTCATAACTGCTTAAAAATAAAAAAGAATGGCATGGAGTCAAAGGAGGAAATGATGCAACAGCTCAAGAGGAAATGGTGGGTTAAAGAGGAAAGGTCACGTCACCACTTTCGCAATATTTCAGGTATTTTAAGTTTGACAAGAGTCAGATCGATGTTGTCTAAAACTAATCAATAATTATCTGTATCGACCAATATGAAACACATATATTGTGTAAGTTTTTTTTAGCCCAGTCCTAGTTTAAAGTCATGTCCAGAAATAGTGATGTGGTTCAAAATTATTCCAAAATAAGTAAGATCTTACTTAGCAATTTCTATATATTCTATTTTTATTTAATTTCTATATATGAAGTTATGAGTCATCAACATATACATAATGACTGAGAGACGCAGAAGCCTGTTTATCATGTAAATCCTCCCTGGCTGAAACAAAACAGATTTCTCTTCTTTGTTTAGAAAAGCTGACAAACCTGCACAAAGATTTTTTTATAGAATAGAATAGAATAGAATAGAATAGAATAGAATAACTTTATGATCTGTCCCAACTGGTGACACAAATTCTTTTTGTCAGACTCCATCACCAGGCATTCCCACAACAGCATCTTAATAAATACAGATAAAAGCACATTAAAAACTCTCACATAAACAAGCCACATAAAGAAAAAGGAAAGTTTCAAACATTTTCAGTATCTGTTCAAAAGTAAAAAGTTCCCATTTTAAGAAGTCTAAAGTAGATATTGCAAATGGTATAAATGATTTCTTGTAAATGTTTTTGAGGGCCAGAGGAGTGTTGTGTCACACCGGCAGTTACATTGTACGTTTTCACCTAAAAGGGGGCGTGGCCATTTCAAAGAGAAGGAAATGATGCAACATTGCTCTGCTATATAACAACCAGGGGACTATTAAAAAAAAAAGTAAGAAAAAAAGAAGTAACGCTTTGAACAGTGTGTGCCTTTAATCATTTTTCTGCAAGTTTTAGAAGACTAGCCAATATAAACAGGCTGTGTATAACTTGCCTGTTTCTTTAGAACCTCAATATGAGGGATGCTGCCTCTACAATAGGCCTCCAGGATGAGGGCGAACTGGACAGAAACTGCAGGCATATGGATCTCTGAGCTGTTGAGAAGAGGCAGGCACATATGAAAGGTTTATTTAAACACTGGGCTTAAAATCAACATCTTAATCCTTCCCCCCTTCCTGTTTAATATGTAACTGTTTAGTACATTTGTTCATATGTGCACAATGACCAACGCACCGTAGATGCCAGAAGAGGAAGTGTCCGATTTTGCGGTTGCCTTGAGCACGGTCCAGCAGGAAGTGGGTGAGAGCGCAGTCGTAGTAAGGCTCATAACGCAACACCTGCACCAACTGTAGCAGGTACTGCGACAGTTCCTCATCACTGACAGAGGGGGGGAGGAAACAGGAAGACAGAGAGAAAAATAAGAGGAAATTCCCCTAAAAGATAGTAATTTCACAATGACATAAAATGGTGTGAGCGTTCACTCTGCAGGAAAAAACCTAGAGCATCATCCAGTTTTAAACATAAAGTGTGTACTGAACTGAAAAGAAATTAATGTACAGTATGTGGCTGAGCGTAAAGGATTATAAATTTGATTGTGATGCATGAGTTTACCTCATGTCACGCAGGCAGCCAACAGCATACTCTCTGACGTACTGGTCAGGATAGTTGAAGTCCAGAAGCTCCAGAGCATCTCTAGGACTCAATTTGGGCCAAATCTGAAGTAGAGCCTGGAGCTAAACACACAGAAATAAAACATTTAATCCATTACAGGGTGGTTAAGAAAGTAAGTGAATTCTTGTTGATCACTAACAGAAATGCAAATTATTCTTTCAATAACACTGATAAAAGCTTAAATCTTTTAAGTTGACCATTCATAAACAACATTAAGAGTGAGAAGGTCCAGGTTCTGCATTAAAGTCGTTCATTATAAATAAAAGTCATTCAGTTTAACATTTGTGGCAAATAATTTACCAAAGACCTTACAAAAGTGATTATATGGGTCAGTTTTTCATAACTCATTTGTTTTTGAGTAAATTTAAAATAAGAAGCAAATGCAAGACATTTTTATTACCATACAATATTTTTGTCCTCATATTTTTTTTATAACGTGGACGGGCGCAACAAAGGCTCGATATATATATATA